CGATGTTTGTCTGAATGAATATGATACTATTAACAATCATATTATTCCTATCAGCTGTCAATCACTGTTAATAAATAATAATAATAATAATAATAGATTTAATTTGTTAGTGTTTTTACAGGTGCTCAAAGACGCTTTACAGATATAGTGAAGAACTGTTATGATTCACATATTCATTTATTATTGAATAAACTATATTTTTTGGAGGAGTTAATGATGAATGTTCATCAAGATGCTTGCTCACCCTCCTTCAAATTTGAAAAACAAGTAATTATATCATTATTGATATACAGTTACAACCTTGACTTTACATCAGAAAGAACAAACATTAAAGAAGTGACTAACTGCATCAGTTAGGGTTAAACGTGTATTCAGCTAAAACATCGCTGCAGTTATGATCTAGTGGAAGGTCCTTACCTACTGGCCTAGTTCAATCAAAGTGGTTACTTTCTGTTGGCTGGGCAGTGTAGTTTTACACACCGTCTTATTTTACTTTCTCAGGACTTAAAACTGTTTTTTGGGGGCAGACCCCCTCAAAGAAAAAAATATATACACGCATACAAGGTCATCATCTTAACAGTTTGTTATTCTCATCGAGTCATCCGTGAGCAGAGCATCAAGTTGGCATGTCTATTACAGCTGAATGCGGCGATTACTATTTTGTTCAGCAAAACGCCTCACAAACTTATTAAGATCAACAGCTGTAGTGCGTTTTGATTCAATGCTGAGTACAGCCAAACTTGACATTCTCTTCTCTGTCATTGTAGACCGCAACTACCTCATTCCTTCAGTGCTTGGGTCCGAAAGGCTTCTCGTTTTGCGCCGTCCCCACGTTCAAGTGAATTCGCCACCAATCATATTTCCACGCCAGGACCGGGGGAGGGGTTACATGACGTGCATCTTGTGCTGCATTCACTTGCACTCGGACATTAGAGACTTTCTCTCATAAATGTCCGATGAGCCACAACTTTTCTTTCAAAACAAAGATGCCAACTGGGGTGGCAGCTGGGGTGGCAAGGCTATTGTTTAGGGTGGCAGTTGCCACCCCATGCCACCCCGGTAGATCCGCCCCTGAATGTAGTCCCACCTTTTTCTCCTTACAAAGCTGTATACACAGGGTTTACTTGACATGTTATTGCACCCATAAAGTAAGTATGCAGCAGAATATCATCTAAGATAACTAAGAGCCAAAGACAGGGGCCCAGACAGACACTATTGGTTTCTTCTCAGTTGTACCAGCTTTGTCAGACCCTAATTTGTCTAGCCCTAATTGCAGCAAATAATTGCAAAACCATTCACTGGAGAAGAGAAGAGCTCCCTGCTGCATCTTTATGGCTTAAAAAGCATTGATCTTAGACAAAAAACGACTTGAAAAATGCTGGTCTTGGTAACCTCTTCATTAAATAAAGGTTTGTGGAAAAGTACTGAAGTGCAGCTGGTAAGGAGTAAGCAGACTGTGACGCAAATATTTAGAGCATGTTTTTTGAAATGGAAACAACATCTATGAGAGCAGTGAGACTCAAACAAACAGTTACATTGCATGCCGTAAACTAATATCCATACTAAAACTCTGTATCGGGAAACTGCAGATTTTGGTGATAACTGTGAACACTCACATTACATTTCATCATTCGAACCTTCAATGATATTAAAAGAAGCACTGGTGCTGCTTTGAGATGTCCTTACTTTGACCATTTTATGTAAATTGAATGTATCGTTATCATTGTCTTTAGCATAACTATCATGGTAAGGTCATTGTGAGGAAATTACACAGCTAAAGAGATAACTTCATCAATAAATGACATGATTAACAGCCCCATGACTACTCCAAATCCCAAATGCAATAGAGCTTCTACTATTCTACTTTAGGTTCGAGGAGTTTGTAGTACCACATAGCACAATTCATCATGCCAGCTGCCCACTGTGGGTTTGAGACCCACAGTGGGTCCCACTGGCTCGCACCTTGGAAACAACCTGTACTCCTTCGTAGCGCAAATGACACCTGGAACACTGGGACCAGCTGACCTACATTGTAATCACATAGGGGACAGCAAAACGGAATTGAAGTGGTCGGTTAAACCCACTTGTCGAATCCTATAATTACTGATTTTTTGAGTGTTCTCGCCAAGGTTATCTGGAAGATTGACATTACTCTGTGCTTTTTATAATCTGCACTCAAGTGTTACTCAAAGAAGCCACATTCAACCCCTACTTCTAGTTTCCATTCCGACATGGGGAAGATGTAAGCATTTCATCCAATCTGTTTTTTCCACATTCAAAAATCTATTTCTTTAATAAAGGCACTGATGGCCAAAATAAATGATAAAAATCAAAGGAGTATCTACATTTCTTGACCAACTGTGAGATTTTGCAGCAGTACAATTAGAGGAAAAATAAACAATTGTACTCATTTTGGAAAATGTAATGCTTATTGCTCCATTGCATGTGCAGGCATGTACAGTCAATCTGTCGAGGCTGCATGGAGTCTGACCCTAATTACCATACTGAGGCAAATTGGACTCATGGTTGTGTTGACACGCAATGAAATGTATAGAAAGTTATCTATTGAAACACCACTGACGTTAACACTTGCTGGTAGATGATGCAAACATTTCCACTGCTAGAGTCAGTCCTAGAAGTAGCACTACCTGTAGGAGCCAATTAACACTCCTACCTATAAAGGTAGGAACCTATGTTTGTGGTTAGAGGTTCCGCCGGAAGGCCATACAGTTTTTGACCACACACGGACCACACACAAAGAACACACACACACACACACACACACGGAGCACACACACAAACACGGGATTACAAACATTTGCAAAAGGTATTGTGTGAACCGTAATATCGTATATGGTGAATGAGAGAATGAAGCAAGTTAAATGGAAACCAGTGAAAAGGAAATACATGGACTGTATCGAACTGGAAACTTTGTTTCTGACTTTTATGCAGCAGCAAACTTTGTGTGCGTCAATTACGCCAACATAGCGGATCCTCAGAGGCTTAAAGCGTTGGCTTAGCCTCTACACTACCTATTGTAACCTCTGCATCCAGTTTGTGAGAATAAGCCTCCACGGTTTCCAGTGCAATTACCAGCCGAGTACAGTGCAGACCTGGAGCTGACATCTTGATCCACTGCTGTGCGGACTAATTCCCCAACATCCCCCCCGTCTGATACAGCACTCGAGGTGATTGAAATAATCAATGCAGCCGGTCCAATGTGACAAGGTCTTACGATGGGCCGTGTTATAAGAACATTGATTCCCTATTTTTATTTTTTTTACTGAATTCATACTGCAGGACTTACAATTAACAGGGGGTTGGTTCCCGTTCCCCCACTTCCTTACCCTTATTTCTCACGCGCTTGCTCCAACTAAACCCATCTATTGACTTAATCCTCAATTTTACATTTGTGAAGTTTTGTGAAAGCATCTTTTATAACTGCGACAACTTTACTTTTCTATGGCCACACAGAAATATGAAGATCTGGCAAATTGCCCCAAAGTGCTTATTTTGTTAGCCCCCCCATAGTTGGTGTCTTCAGGAAAACATTAGACCAGGATGACACACACAGACTCACAAGCAGGAAACAGTAGTGATGCTGTAGTGGCAGGTCATAATTGTTGTGACTCGACAGTTATGTTGTTTACTCTTGTGTTTTGATCTTGTCACTTCCTGTTTTTATTTTGAAAGTAATCCTTCCCTCTCATTCCAGATCCCACATTTCCTGCCTTTGTGTGTTTCCCGCCCTTGAGATTGCTTGGCCCTGCCCTGATAGTTTTCACCTGTGCCCATCCTCCTCACCTATGAATAGCCCTTGTGTTTCTTTAGAGGTTTCTCAATACTCTAATTCCCCCTCCTCGACTCCTCGACTCCTCGGTCCTCCGGTAGTGACCCGGAAATGAATTTCAGCGCGCCATTTTGAAGGACATCTCATTTCTCTAAATGCACTTCGAGGACCGAGCATCGAGCATCGAGGAGGCTCTCTGGAGGAGCTATAACCGAGGAGACACTGATGGGTCCTCCACATGGTCCTCCACGGCTCCTCCGCGGATGTATTTCCGGGAACGGTGGAGGCGTTACGCACGGCTCTGGCACGGCCGGACTTATCTCAGCCAATGACAGCTCTGCATGCATCCCCTTGATATTATTTTAGAAACTGCTTTCATCGCGACGCGATGTTTACAGTGAGAACAGCTGTGAGGTCCGTGCAGAAAGCAGAGCAGTGTGTAAAATATATATCACTCAGTATAACAGGCCTACATTACACTCTGTATTTGTATGCTTTAGTTTAGTAGATATAACAAAGAGTCGATATTTTTCTAAGACCATTTAGTGCTTCACATCATAAAATACACAACGGCTGTAGCCTGATTATGCTTTAGGAGCTAGGTGTGTGTGTTGTACAGTGTGTAGGTGTGTGTGTTGTACAGTGCGTAGATGTGGCGGACAGACGGGTCTCAGTTAGTTTGGTGTCCTCTGCTTACTTGTAATACTTGTAAATACAACGTTTGGCCCATAATTTCAATTCCCCATTTCAGCGACCAGAGAGAGAGGGGGGGATATATCCAGTCTCTGTCTCTGATTGTGTTACGTTATTATGAGAGTGCTCTCTCATACTTGTTTGATTCTGAAATTGTATTTATATAAATATATATGTGTGTGTGTGTGTGTGTGTGTGTGTGTGTGTGTGTGTGTGTGTGTGTGTGTGTGTGTGTGTGTGTGTGTGTGTGTGTGTGTGTGTGTGTGTGTGTGTGTGTGTGTGTGTGTGTGTGTGTCCCCGCATATGTAGCCTGTTATTGTCTCATTATACCGCACTGTCAATTAATTAAAAGTATATATATAAGTCTTCATGAACACATCTGTCCATCAGACAGAGGGCTGCTGTGCCTCCTGTCATCATTAATGGACGTCTCTTTAAAATGACCGCTCAGAGGAGAGGATTTCTCATTTCTCTAACCGCCTGCTGCTTCCCCTCCTCTCTCCTCGGTTCCCCTCCTCAGTCCTCCGCTCGCATCTCCTGTGGGCGGCACCAAGTCTCGAGGATAGGAGTCGAGGAGGGGAAATTTGAGTATTGAGAAACCTCTTTTGTCCCATGTCAGTTCGTTATGTTTCATGTCGTGAGAACCTGGGCCTTTTGACTCCTGAAACTTTACTTTGAGAAATATACCTTTGTCAAGTAAGTTTTGTTTCGAAGTACGACTTAGTTTTTGTTATTTAACAACATTCTATTTTTGGACAACTGTCTCCGAGTTCTGCTTTTGGGTCCTGTGTCTCAGTTCATAACAATAATACCTTGGCTAATAATAGGCTTTGAATAATATGAACAAACTCCTCTGTATAAGCCTTCTGAATATAGATAGGAATACAACTATAAAGTGTGTTGTATGCAAGTGCAACTTTACAAATGACTATTTAACATGCAATACCATTTGATACGATTGTATGAAAAAAAACAGAACTAATGTTGAGAAAATGCCCTATATGGATATGTATTGTAAAATGCTGCTAACAATGACAGGTGTAGAGTGTAACACATTTTGGATTTAAAACATTTCGGAAATTTTAATATGCAAATAATATAACTTATGTTAATTGTTGGTGAATTTAGACATTTTATGCAAGCAAAATAGCCACTGTAGAATGCACATATTTCTGCAAAATACTTCAACTTTTAAATCTGCACAAGTCTTCCATTTGTGTATTAAAATATACACAGTATTTTTCTTTTACAGCATTTGTCATTTATTGTTGTTTGTATATTGTGTATTCTTCTTTATTATAGTTGTATGAGCTGTGGTGCTGGTTTCCTTAACTTTATGCACCACTATACACCAAATAAAATGACTTACTTTAATAAATACTGACTAAACAAGTGAGGAATAAACCGAATTATGATTAAAAAAAACATGTTGTTGCCAAAAGTCATTAAAATAGCTAGCCTACATTTCTTGCTTTCTTATATTTTTTAAGAACACATTTGTGATGTTCTTAATGGTTGATTATGTCTAGGAGAGAGAGAAAGCAGAGAGGAGGTACACACTACACAGGAGTCAGAGAGACAGGCAGACAGCAGAACAGCAGCAGTTCCAATCCACGCGCAGCCGGGACTCCTAGGTGCCGTGTGCGCGCAGTCTGGAGAGAGTGGCGCGTGATAAATCAGCCCGGTGCAGCTCCGCGAGACCTCGCCTGAACACCTCCACCTCTGCCACCCTTATCATCGGCAGCAAGCTGGACTATCGTGCTGCGTTTCATAAGAGGACGTTAAAAAGCCGCGTGTGGGGATACACATCTTTCCACTCGGAGATTTTAAACTTCGCCGCGTGAGGCTTCGGAACTTCTTCATTCCCTCGCGCAGATGTGGACGCATTGAGGAAGCTGCACTTTTTTCCTTTTATAGAATATAATTGTAGCCTACTATTTATTTCCACAGCGGCTCAGACTTCTTTCAACCATGATACAGATGTGATATGAGCAAACTGCTGCTGCACTATCGACGATATGTCCTCAATTGGTATACCTTGATAATAAATAAAAAAGTAGCTATTAATTAATTCCAGGATATAACTCTCTCTCGGTAAGTACTCCACCATTTGTACTTGATAATTAAGTCATTAGTCTGTGTGCGTTTGTGTTTGCTTAGGTAATGTTTTAACCACAAAACCACATGTGATTAAAATCCGCAATATTATAAACGCCACGAGACTGACTGTTTACTCTGCACTTAGGCACCATTACCCTGATTACATGTTTAATCTTCCCCCCAGGTTTTACTTCCGCTTAAGGTCCACTTAATATTTATGTTAGGATAAATGCTATTCATTTAAAATTCCTTTCAAAACTGAAGAAAAATATATGTTGCCTATTTACATTATAGCCTACATTTCATTTAGCTGATGATACTTTATCCAAAGTAGCCTACTTACAATAAGTGCATTCAACCAGGGCCGGTCCTAGACATTTTGGTGCCCTAGGCGAGATTATGATTTGGTGCCCCCCCCCCCCCCTTCAAGCAATACACAATAGAATATATAAAGAATACATGAAAAATCTCTACAAAAGACCAATACACTACAAAAACTGAAACATATTGACATGTTGGTTATATACATAAAGAAGGTTTCAAATGTATTCATTATTGTTTTAATTGAGGGGTGGACGTCACATCCTCTAGGGGGGTCCGGGGGTATGCCCCCCCCAGAAAGATTTGTTTTAACATTTTAAAGTAAAATGCTTCAATCTGGTGCGCTTTGAGCAGAATTACTAGAGACTAGATCTAGAGGGTACAACTCTAAACACCCATATGAAAAAGATCGGTTTACATTTGAATAACCAAATAAGTATGTGAACATAACCAATCACCTACCATAGCCAATAACAAATAAATGTAACATATTTAATTTTTGTTGTTCATTTTTATCTTATTTTACCTAGTTAATATTTATTTATTTATGCATTTCTTTAGGCAAGGCAAGGCAAGGCAAGGCAAGTTTATTTATATAGCACTTTTCAACACAAGGCAATTCAAAGTGCTTTACAAAAAATGAAAGACATTAAGAAAATGGCATTTAAAATCAGTCATTAAAAAGAAAAGCTAATAAAATAAACATTAAAAGAAAAAAATACATGGCAGTCAATTAAACATTAAAAGAAAAAAGTACATGGATAAAAGTTACAGTGCAGTCTAAGATATGAATAGTTCAATTAAAAGCAGCGACAAAAAGAAAAGTCTTCAGCCTGGATTTAAAAGTAGTCAGAGTTGTAGCGGACCTGCAGGTTTCTGGGAGTTTGTTCCAGATATTTGGAGCATAATAACTGAACGCTGCTTTACCATGTTTAGTTCTGACTCTGGGGATAGAAAGCTGACCAGTCCCTGAAGACCTGAGAGATCTGGATGGTTCATAATTTAGCAGGAGGTCAGAAATGTATTTTGGGCCTAAACCATTCTGTGCTTTATAAACCAGCAGCAGTATTTTGAAATCTATTCTTTGACACACAGGAAGCCAGTGTAAAGACTTCAGAACTGGAGTGATGTGATCCACTTTCTTAGTGTTAGTGAGGACTCGAGCAGCAGCGTTCTGAATTAGCTGCAGCTTTCTAATAGATTTTTTAGTGAGACCTGTGAAGACACCATTGCAGTAGTCGAGTCTACTGAAGATAAAGCATGGACAAGTTATTCCAAATCCTGCTGTGACATTAGTCTTTTAATCCTAGATATATTCTTTAGGTGATAGTAGGCTGATTTAGTAACAGTTTTAATGTGACTGTTGAAACTCAGGTCAGAGTCCATGACTACACCTAGATTTCTGGCTTTATCTGTTGTTTTGAACATTGCACACTGAAGCTCAGTGCTAACTTTTATACGTTCTGACTTGGCTCCAAAAACCATTACCTCAGTTTTATCTTTGTTTAATTGGAGAAAGTTCTGACACATCCAGTCATTGATTTGTTCAATGCACTTACTCAGTGTTTGAATTGGAGCTTTAAATATCTCCAGTTTTAAACTATATTTTTGGTTTACTGTCCTATAGTATTGGAATGATTTCAAACCTGTTTTTATTTATCCTAATAATTATAAAGGTATGCCTTGGAAATATTTGTTAACATACATTTTGAGCAAACCGTTTGAGACCCACTGAGATAACTTAGACTAAAGTGAACTATCTAAACACTCAGAGTCCTTTACCTCACTGAGCTGTAGTTATCAGCCTCAATCCAACAACAATCCGTGGTACCGATGCGCGCCTTCTCTCTCTCTCTCTTGCTCGCTTGGAGGCTCGCACGCACTTTGGCTGTGAGCTGCAGGTGCTTGATAAGTCAACATCCCCCACTTTCATCACTTACAGCGCCCATCGTACAGGGCAAATGAAAAGTGTAACCGGGGTGAAAAGGGTGTTACCTTGACTTAATTATGAATGTTGTTACATCAAAGCTGAAAATTAGGATGAGCCAAACAGTCAAAAATGTTGTTTTCCAGCGCAGCGACCCCCCCATGCCCCCCCCCCCCCCCCCCCCCCCCCCAGATCTGGCGCCCTAGGCGACCGGCCGGTCTTCTGCCAAAGACCGGCCCTGCATTCAACCATATATACACTCAAAAGCAATAATTCTGCATCCTATTTATAAACCACACTAGACTAAGTGCTACTGCATTTAGCTTCAATTTAAGCCATGCTTTCTAAATGCTACATACCGAGGAGAGAGATTTTTATTTTTATTGGCCAAGAGGCTGTCTTAACAGGTGGGCTTTTTGCTGTCCTGACATTTAATTGACAATTTGCCATTCAATTTCATTTTAAGAGAAAAAGAGCACAATATGCATGTGTAAACCTTAAAGGGGACCTATCATGCAAAATGCACCTTTGGACGTCTTTTATACATGAATATGTGTCCCCGGTGTTCCAGGGAACTCACCAAGTGTCAGAAAACACAACCCTCTCTATTTTCCTCCTTCGCCAAATCTCTAAAAAAGTGGCTGAAACGGATCTGAAAAAAAACGGATCCAGATTTCAACACTTTCCTACGTCACAAAGAGACGTGCTCTGCTTATTGGTCAACTCTCCACCTATCAGGGGAATGAGCCACGGCCACGTGCATTGCCGGGATCAATACCAACCATCCGGGAGCAGGCCAGTGAGGACACATCCAATTTTGAAGCTGTAAGTTTTTATTTAGCGGTGTTTTTCCTGATAAAGCTATCTCTAGCTTGTAGTATGTAGCATGTAGCTTTGCCGTATCAATGTCGCCTCAAACCCAAATAGTAATCGGTTAGGTGTTTATATGTTTTTATAACATTTTATATTGTACGCTCCGCAGTCTTTGCTTTGTCTTTTATTTTAATTATCAGGCATTTGCTAACATGTTCAGACATACTGCCGTAATGGCCATCTGTGTGAAGGCTGTAAAGCCACGCCCTAGCCGATAACACAAGTATTTATTCTCCTATTTATTAGTATTTTGTATCCTCTAAAATCATATTGAGTAAGTTATAATAACAAACGTAATCTTCTGTAGGTAAGTGCCGTTTTTTGCAGCGTTATATGTAAAAGCTTTTGTGATTGTAGTCTGTAAGAACGATCAGATCTGTAAGCTAAGCTACGCTACGCTAATGAGACATGCCGATTTTTGCAGCGTTATATGTAAAAGCTTTTGTGTGTTTACTTGTTTACGCACATGAATATAAATGGGGGTGTGTGAGGATACAACACTGTGTGTATGTATGCGAGGGGGGACACACACCACGAGTAAAACGGAGCTAAAGCCCCGTTGGTCTGTTGTTGTTGACAAGGCCTTACCTAGCAACAGGCTAATTAGTGGCTAGCACTCATTACAGTTAGTCTACTGAGCTCAGCCCCTCTCCAACACATCATCTGTATTGAGTCAGAAACACAGCATGCACGTTACGGTTCAAAACTAACTCAGATTGGAAAAGGCTAAGCAAAGAGCTTTGCTAAATAGAGAGTTTTAAGCCCCATCTTTTGGGATTTCAGACGATATTTATCCAAATAGTATTTTCTCATCCTGAATACTAAATTGAGATGATTTTGTTCTAACTATGTTTTCTTCTTTACAGGCCAGCACCTCACATACTTACTAATTAGTGACAATTTGTACATCCTTTGCTATTATTTACATTTTTTTTTCTCATGGCGGAAATGAAAGACTGTACCTGGCAGCCCTGCACTACAATGAAAACGCTGAGCGTGCACAAGCCACTACATCCCCTGGAAACCCTCTGTATAAACTGCAGTTCCCAAAGGCCAGGAAGGGAGAATGCAGAGCAAAACCAGTAAAGACTGACCCCACATTCCGTAAGTGTTTAAAATATTTATTATACAACTATTTACAAATATAAAATTAGAAAGAACTTTCAGTTTTTTACATGCATATACTAATCTAAACCACATTTTTTGTTGTGCTTTTTTTTAACATTGCACAGGCTACGTGGCCAACTTGATGGACCTCATCTTCGACCAAGTCTTTGTGGACCCTGCACCATTATGAGCGACCTGACAGGGACGAGGTCATCGCCGGGTATGCTACACGGTTCAATTTGGCTGCTGTCTGAACCCAACATCGACATTTTGCGGATCAGGAAACTCCTGCCTCCTTGAGGACAACGCAGACCGGAATCACCACTCTGATCCTGCGTCCAAGGAAGCCCCAGCACCAGCTCACAAAGCTTCTGTAGGCTAGATACCTGTGACGCCTGAAATCATTAAAAAAAATATTTAGTGTAATTTATACAAAATACAAGTACATTTCGTTTTTTTTTTATGGGTTCAAAGAACCGTTCATTTTGACAATAAAGTTCAGAGTTGATATCAAATGTGTCGTGATTATTCATGTTTGGATGGGTAAAGAATATTCTGATTTCAAAAGCATAAGGTTGTGTGTGGACTTTTTTTGTCGTACACATGGGTGTGTTATGCCATTGCTGTGTAATAATATATATATATATAATAGTACATGTACAATGAAAGATTGCATAAAGCCATATACACCAGTATTTATTTCCATGAACAATATTAGCATTCGTTTTACAATTTCAGTCAAAAGAAACAAACCACTCACTGCTCTATTTGCCTCAACTGTAGTCCACCATGTTCAGCTCTGTAAATATTCAATGCATTCTGCAGGGAGAACACATTCAGGCACACAGGCTCCAATCCAGGATGGTCCACCATACAGGTTATAGAGTCCTCAAGTTCCTGCATCCGTCTTGACACCTAGTGTGATAAAGATATATTGAATGACATGTTAAAAATGTATTCTCTAAACAGACAACTTAGTGAAGCTATCAAAAATGTTACCTGTGGTATCGCCATGCAGCACATTCTCCGTTCAGAAGGTATCGTGGCGCAATTTGCACATGTACACCTGTAGAAAGAAGTCAATAACTGAGCTTTTAAAAACACATGAAACTACACACACTGCTGACAACTGAGGTGTTGTTGGAGTTATACTTTTTATCACCCTAAGTTATTGAACTTTCCAACGGTTGTTGCACGATGTTGGAAGAAAAGGACTGTAAACTATTAATAAACGCAATGAGGCCATTGTATATATGCTGAAAATATGAATGTCTCCCTTTATAAATATATATATGTATCGCTGTTATTGCGTTACAAGCTCTAAGTTATAAACTGTACACATAGCATTCTTGCTAATTAGCCAAAATATGAACGGAATAAGTAGCAAGCATCGTAACAGAGTAAAATAAATAGGAACAACAGCTTGTCAACTAACCATTCAGAAACGTCCTGCTGCAACCGAGATGTTTCCACCTCCACCAAAACCTCCGCTGCTTCAGGGTCAGTCTCTGGATCAAATTGATAATACGCTTGAACACATGCATTGCTCTGAGATGACATGTTTATTCCACACTCGTAATCACAGCAAGCATGTTAACGTGACTCTCACCGGCTCATGCCCCCCTCTTCTGCAGGGGGCGTGGTCAGCTGCTGCTCAGAATTTTCAAAGACAGGCTTGGAAAAGAGCGAAAATGAGCGAAACGAGGCATGGCTAAAAAATGATCTGTTTGGTATTTTGAAAAATAAAATGTATAAATATACCTTATATAGGTATGGTCATACACTATATCATTTAAATATAGCATGATAGGTCTCCTTTAATTTAGCATAGTATAATTAATGATGCAGTGGTGTCATAACATTTAACTTTCCCTTTGTTATGAGTCCACATCATGTCCACCCCCCTTGCTGAGCTCAGACTGATGAGCTTATTTAAGACTCTTCTGTGCCCAGAGCGTCAAAGCCAAAAGGTAAAAGAAAAGAGAAAAAAAGAGAGAAGAGGACACCGGCTCCATGGGGTGGATGACCTCGAACACAGTGAGGGGTTCATGGTGTGAAGTTGAACACTTTATCCCAGCAGAGGGTGCGCAGTCCTACAGCGATGATCCTCCTGCAGGACAAATGGAGACATTTCCCAGCACGCACCTATTCTTACCAAGCCTGTAAATGAGAGACAGTGTTTCAAAAGAGGGAACCATCCAAAATAAATATTTCCACTATTGTTGGGAGAAAGGTGAAAATAAGCTGCTTTGATATGCACCAGTATGCAGTTGCATCAGAGGTTCATGTCATGTAACGCCTATGCTAGACATTGCAGAACACAATTATGTTTTCCTAATTGAATGAAAATATGCTGCTGATGACCCAGGAGGAATGTGCCTCCTGGTTGTGAAATGGATTCTTCCCCGTAATTACGTTTACACTTCTTGTCAACATTGGGGAAAGCATTTTTTGGCAAGACAGAGCCAATGGCCAGTGCACTTATAGAAGAGTTTGGAGGATTATTTCTACAGTATTGCCTTCCTCAGCTAAACTGAAAAAGTCAATTATTTTTTTGTTCAAGAATAACACTCTTCTCTTTGTTTCTTTCAGTGCACAGCATGCCAGGCTGATACCAACGCCTCACTCTGAACTCTCCAAGGCTTTGAACATTGTCACAATAAACCTGAGATTACTCAGGAATATGCTCAGTGAGCAGCTCAACTTTTGGAAGAGCTCTTTTGAAATCTACTTCAAAAGATTCTGCAGAAGTCTATGAAATCAAATTTGAAGACTTTTCTCATGATAAACCCATATGTTGCCGTGCATGAACTGATGATTTGGGCCTTTTCGAAAGCTAATGAAGCTGGAGTCATCACTATTTAATGCCAAGAGACAAGCGGAACAATGATTAATTATACCTGACGCAATTTGGGGAGGCACTGCTGATTATGCAGAAGGTTGGCGGGCTTGATATGCCCAGGAAATCCTCTATCCTTGATGGCTTTGCCGTGATATGGTGTGTGGTCTTTGGATTATTCATCGTAATTGCACCAGTGATGGCTTGTCCCACGACTTGTCACTGCATGGAGAAGAGTGGAAAGACCGTGGTCCAATGCATTTCCCGTAACTTGGACATCATACCACCTGATCTCCCTAGGGATACCGTCATCCTGCTTTTGGCGTCCAACCACATCACCCACATCCCCAACCAAGCCTTCAAGGACCTGCACTACCTGCAGGAGCTGGACCTGTCCAACAATGACATTGAATTGGTGGACCTCGGAGCTTTCCAAGGCATTTCTGACAGCCTCCTTTTTCTGGATCTATCAAACAATCGGATCCAAAGTGTCCCTAAAGAGGCATTTGCGCGACTTCGGGCAAAAATTAGCCTCTCGAACAACCCGTGGCACTGCGAGTGCACGCTGCAGGAGGTGCTGAGGGAGCTACGGTTGGACCCTGAGACGGTGAACGAGGTGATGTGCCACACGGCGGTGCAGGAGGAGTACGCTGGCAAACCGGTGATCCAGGTGCTGGACTCAGGGATCAACTTCTGCAACTTCCACCACAAGACCACCGACGTAGCCATGTTCGTCACCATGTTCGGGTGGTTCACCATGGTGATCGCGTACGTCATCTACTATGTGAGACACAATCAGGAGGATGCTAGGAGGCACCTGGAGTACCTCAAGTCACTGCCAAGCAGTTCTCAGATCAGCAAGGACTTTGACACCATCAGCACTGTTCTCTAGCAGGGCCATATTTATGTGAAAACATTTGTGGTTTTGTTCAATGACTAAAAGCTGTTGTAAAACATAATCACCAGTGTTTCTAAGATTTATCAGTTCTTAAAATCGGTGAAATCGACTTTTTAAGCCCTGTAAATGATGTCCTTTTTCTTATTACTGGCACACAGGGAAACATTGATAGCACAAAATAAACAAAATCTCCTAAAAGTCACATTTCTTTGACGGATGATAGATCAAGACTGAAGAGATAAATGTCCCAGCTCTACTGTCGATCCACAGTCTAGTTGAATTTTCTCTCGTGAAGAATGAGTCCCCTTGATACTTTTTATTGATTGATTTATGTTGTTTGTGTCACACTGTCAAGATAAAGGTCATTTTACTTTGACATATGAAATAGAGCAACAATCAGTTTGCATAAAACATGCAAAACAGCCCTGCCTCCAGGAAACTGGAAAACAGGAAACTACTGACCCAGGAAATAAGGTTACGCATTCAGTCAGACAAAATGTATTTAAACAAGAAATTGTTGGCACACACTTCCAGCTCTGAAGTGTTTTTCGTATACCAAACATGATCTGAAGAAGCATTTCAGAATCATATACCAATGACCAATGAAAAGATGATCTGAAAGATCAATGTCAATATGACATAATATTACCAATATGACTTGTTTTCACAATACAAATGGTTATATTGTTTTATATACACTTTCTTAATTTTTCAGATATTGATGATATTTAGATTTTTAGAGCAAACAACAAACAATCCAAAGTAAAGAAGAACTGGTTCAAACTAATTTGAACTATTAGTTAATCAGAATCTAATATTACACCCCTCCACAAAATGATATCATCGTCCATTGTTAGGTATCACCTAGGTCTAGGACATCGTAATATGCCAGGTTCGCCCAACTCAAAATGAAAATGTCAAATCTACACTGCTATATCATCCAGTACACCACAGCATAATTTAGAGGAGCCTTTATATTATGACATCTCAAAAGAGTCAATTATAGCACAGGTAAAAAACAAGTCATATGAAAACCCTTCGTGTAAGAGTATTGATTAATGCAGCTTTGTACCAGTCACCTTCAGAGCAAATGTCATGGTCAAAAATTGGTATGAAAGTATTTATGTTGAAGATTATGTTCAGACATTGTTTCTGTTTTATTTGAAACAGAGCAACAAACCGCAAATAGCTAAGTTAACATGACAATTACAACATTTTATTTTACATAACATAATAAAAACATAATTCATTGGTTTCCACGTTGATTGTTGATTGTGTCCAAGTGCCTACTGTCTGGGGCACCTACACCATAGCACTGTGTACTAAGTTGGACAATGTAGTGTCAAGTCCACAATCGCCATTGCAGAAGTCATTCTGCCACAACTTATGCCTAGCTAGTTTCTATTCACGGCTGGGTACTTAATACATGAAAGGTATTAAAGGTCCAATGTGTAGGATTTAGTGGTGATGTGGCAAATTGCAACCAAGTTAACCCCTTGGCTCACACCTCACTTTCCAAGCAAATGGAGAACCTATAGTGCCTTCATGTAATTTAAAACTCAAAAGGCCCTTTCTGGTAACCTAATGTTTGGAAAAGGGCAGCAACAAAAATACATGGCGATTGGATAAGCAATGTGTCTATCAGCATCCTTCATAGGCTTTCTTCTACCAATCAATTCAACAAACCATACTCATATGCAAACTCTCAAGCCAGATTACCTTGCGCAGGTTCTGCACATCCTTGTAAGAAGTGTAAAACAATTGTTTCCTTCGAGAAAAGCATCCAGTGCTTTGCATCAATTAAATGTTGTGTCCCAACCACTGCTGTTCTGACACCAATGCATTACTTAGAGCCTGATAGGATGGATATTTGCCTTATCTCTGGTTATCAGGAGTATCGACCTGCCATGCATTGTAACCTCTCTTGAGTCAGAGATTGGTTTGTCAATTTTTAGCCACTTAAGAATCATGGTGGAATCCATGGGAGAGTTCCTACTCACAATGTAGAAATTAAGGGCTCATTCTAGAATAGGTTGACAAAACCCAACAAGTCTTTATTTTACAGTAATTAAATCATAGTGTATGAAAGTTATATTCAGAATGTCCTCTAATTCCTACACACCTTTAAAGCCCAATTCCCCAGATATTTGGAACTTTCTAAAAAAAACGAGTGCCAGAACAACATAACAGAACAAATGTTTCAATATTAATTTTAAATACTTTTCTGTGATTGATAATCTGCTGTCTTCATGTAAAGATCCCCATTAATATAGTCATTTAAGCAGGTTTAAATAAGGACAAATAGTTCATTTCAACTAACACTAGTCAGTGATTTGTTTTTAATGTTCTGTATTTGCATCTGGCAAAGTAGTCTTTTTTTGTACAACTGTAGGTCTATTTGTTAAAGTAGTATCTATCTGTCTGTGCCGTTTTGACCTGTCTACAACAATGTTTGTGCTGGCCGATGTGAACACAACTTTAACAATCTTAAAGGAAGCACATGCCATCTGTGTTGTTAATTTGTACAAAAGCTAAACCAATATCAAAGTGTTTAGATGTATTTAAGACCTTGTTCAATGTTTTTTCTGCATCTGTAGAAGAGTATGAGTTGTGTATGTCTGCGATGAAAATGAAAGGGCTCCAATAAATGTGTTTGTGATAATAACAACAATTTTCTATCTTTTTCAGTAATTACTGTTTGTTTGTTGGATTTCATGGATTTTATGGTTACCCTACCAGCATTTCAAAATAAAAGTTATTTTCCAGGACCCTTCAGTATCATAATGATTATTTCTACTTGGCTAAGTATTTTCTGAAGAAAGCCAGAGAGATTTAAACTGCAAGAAAACATTATTTAAAACATTGGGAAGCGACGCACTCCAGCCTCTTGTGGCAAGAAGGAATAATACTATTTTCCTGAAATGGTGTAGGACAGGAGTCAACAACCTTTTTTAGGATGAGGGCTACTTTCAAAAAATAAAACAAGTCGTGAGCTACTTTTACTCGTCTTTCTTTAGTTTTTTTGCAGTGTATATATTTAGCACATTTTAACATTATTATATGCTTACCTTCAACCTTTGTGTGCTGTTTGGGTCTGTGGGACCAGTTTTCAGTGTTTACTAAAATAACATGTATTCAATTAAATTATTTTAACCTGCTTTATTTGGGGGTGGACCTCACCTCCTCTAGGGGGGCCCGGGAGCATGCACCCCCGGGAAGATTTTTTTTAAATGTTGAAGTGAAATGCATCAATCTGCTGCACTTTGAGCACAACATGCATTTATTGATACATCTCTCAACACTCTATGAAAGGGAGCTGTATACTTTCAATAATCCATACATCTTTAGAATATGATCACAACCAATAACAAATCATTTAAACTTGTTTATTCTTATCTTATGTTACCTAGTTAGCATTCTTTCTTTCTATTTATGCATATTTTACTAATCACTCCCCTTTTAACCTGTTAAGCCCCAAGCCTGTTTTTCAGGTCTCAGGCTCAAAAAGGACATTCCCAGAACAAATGACTATAACTTCACTTCTAAAAGGGTTAAATTAATATTATTTTTTTTCTCAAAACAAGGTTAGATCAGTGAGTTGGATGTAGAAGTGTCAGAATCAATATAGATGTTTTTATTTTAGAGTAAATTCAGATTGAACACAGTAGAAAAATGTAAATTATAGTGTCCGTCCAAAAAAAGAAATTACTTGGCTAGCATCTCACGCAGCACTCCCCTGTTTTCCAGCCCTCGACGCACAGCGACAGGAAACATGCGTGCGTGCATCTCTATCCACATCAGTCAGGCTAGAGTCCAGATTGGCAATTCATGCTGGGAGCTTTACTGCCTGGAACATGGGATCCATAGGATGTATATGCGCCGGTGAAGATGGCCGCATTGTCTTTTGGCTCCTCTTCAACTTTGCCCTTTTTCGTATTTTGTGCGTGTTTATTTACTTTTAACATGGTTCGCAACATGCAAGCCGACCACACCAACTCTGCTATACAATATAGCAGAGAGGAACTTATTCACATCCGAAACTTCTCGGACAATAACCCTCCGACGGACAATGGAGATTCGCCATTGGCTACCTGTTGCTGTCTCACCTGAGAGACGCAGAAGGAAGACCAAGCGGGGGACCCGCACATAGTGATGGTGAGATGAAGCCTTATGAAGCTTTCCAGCCAATTGGTTGAGATGGGTCTGGCTGAAGACCGCAGCAAGGAGGCGGATCGTATAGGGGCGGATCGTATAGGGGCGGATCGTATAGGGGCGTTTCCTAACTTTTTTTATCCAATAGAATAATGACACTCAGCAGAAATACATACTGTAGGTGACAGTAATGCAATTTAAGGGATTCCAGCTGCTTTTATAAATCCTCGCAGAATAAGTCATTCGTTCTTTCACGATGGCCGAACAACAAGTTGAAACAGCGGTAATAGTATTTTCCAGAGATGCATGTTTATATTTATTGTAATGTCATTTTTCTTAACACACAATTGTCTCGTTATCAAAGTACAACATCGACTGTCCAACCTCGTTAAGCGTTAATAAAGTAAATAATAGTTGTATGTGGTAAAAATGTTTGTGGTATTAAATGCTAGCTTAGCATGATGCTATAAACACGTTGGCCTATAGTCCCGTTTGCAACCAGGCCTACTCTACTGTTGTAATAACGTTAAGCTTAGATAGGTCAATAGATTATCAGGCTCGGTAACAATACTGATTTGTGTTACCAAAGCTGATCATCTAATTGACCTAAGGTTAGCTTATATGCTGTGATGCTAACCAGCACTTAGCATGATGCTAGTGTACTCTTGTATTATCTTGGAAATATAAGTAGGCCTGCCCTACATACTGTAACTTAATCAAATAATATGGTATGGATTCGGATAGACAACATGGCTAGCTTGGTTGGTTGAATTGAGTAATAAGATGTGCGGTACTGATTAAGGTTGTAACTGTAACCGTTTGTAACTACTAGTTGTAATGAACCAGACGAGAGACGGACGCATCCTTTCAGTAAATGTCGGCTGCTAATCAATATGTAAAAATAACACTTCGGATGTGTCTTCTATAATTATGTAACATTAGTTATGGCATCATCAGAAAAGACGAGCTTGCAGGATTCTGCAGCATTGACTGTTTCTATGATGCTGGAGGCACCTTCCAAGAATAAAATGTTTGTTTAATAAAGACTTTCCTCTTTGTATGTACTGTATATATTTTTTATTTTTTTATTAATCTTACCACCAGACACAACATGAACAAATGAATGATACACATCAGGACAGTAACTTAAACTTCAGTATTTTAGGTGTACAGAAACCTCTACTCATGTTGTTAAATGATATACACAGGGCTGCACATAACTGGTGCGCAGGTGCGCACCTGCGCCAAAAAATGCGCACCGGGTCATTTGAAAAAAGGCGCATTTGCGTACCAACATTGAGAGAGAGAGGGAGAGAGAGAAGAGAGAAGAGAGAGAAGAGAGGAGAGAGAAGACAGAAAGATAATTTGCGAGTTGCATATGGACTGGTAAGAAAAAAATGTCGAAGAAGCAAGCCACGTTGAGTAGTTACTTTGGTACTCCACCCCCGCCCAAAAAACGTCAGACTGAACCTGCTCAAACAAAACGTGTATTCGCAGAGAAGTGGCTACAGGATGTAGGCTGGCTCCAAACCGATGACGAGCGCACTGAGATGTGGTGCAAAATATGCAGAGAAAATCCGAATCTTGCTGATAAAGCAACGCCCTTTTATATAGGTTGTACGAATTTGAGTCATCCAGCTTTTGAAAAGCATGAGAAGAGCAAAGAGCATGTGAAGATAGCTGACAACCAGGATAAGAACCCCAATCGTCCCCTCGACAGGTGGCAGGATACACTCAATGAAGAACAGCGCCAAGCTCTGAGTAATATGTTTCTGTGGCCTTTCACAAAGCCAAACATGCACGTCCTATGCGTTCATATGAGGAGGACATTGCGCTTCTCAAGAGGCTTGGCGTTAATGTTGGGACTGCTTATCATTCGAGAGAAGGGGGATCCCGCATCATGGAGACCATCGCACAGGCAATCAGTTCAGAGTTGTATGAACAATTGAAGGCAGATGAATTTTGGGGTGTGCTTTTTGATGGATCAGAAGACATAACAAAAGTGGAGCAGGAAATTGTGTACATTGTGTCTGTGGGTAGCGAGGGAGAGTTTAGCTCAGATTTCATTGGGTTAATTAATTTGGGTGTGAAACGAACGGCACAG